GCCCTCCGCAGACCTCAGCAAGACGGTGACGGCGCGGCAGAAGCTCGAGGCGCAGCTCACGGAGAACAACATCGTCAAGGAGGTGAGCGCCTGGCCCCAAGGTGTCCCCAAGGTGTCCCCAAGGTGTCCCCAAGGTGTCCCCAAGGTGTCCCCAAGGCCACGGTGCCACCCGCCGCGCTGTCCCCCGCCAGGAGCTGGAGCTGCTCGACGCCACCAACACCATCTTCAAGCTCATCGGGCCCGTGCTGGTCAAGCAGGACATGGAGGAGGCCAAGGCCACCGTGGGCAAGCGCCTCGACTACATCACGGGCGAGATGTGAGTGGCGCCGGGGGGGGGACACCGAGGGTTGGGGACACGTTTTGGGGACACGTTTTGGGGACAAACGCATCACCCCTCCGGGCAGCAAGCGCTACGAGCAGCAGATGCAGGAGCTGGAGCGGCGCGCGGAGCAGCAGCGGGAGCTGCTGGGGCGGCTGCAGCAGGACTTCCAGCGGGCGCAGGGCAAGGGCGCCGCGGGCAAGACCTGAGCCCTCGGCCCCCATGTCCCTTGTCCCCCACATCCCTTGTCCCCCGTGCCGTGACGGCGCCCTCAAAGAAGCCGCGTTGGCCCCGCCGGGCCCAGCCCGTAGTGTCTTTATTGCGGTAGTGTGGGCGACAGCGAGGGGACACTCGGGGACGTCTCAGAAGAGGGCCCGGCGGCGCCCGGCCGCCCGGGCCTTGGGGAAGGTGGCGCTGAGGTCGGCGGGCGCCCGCGGGCGCAGCGCGAAGTCCAGGCTGGCGCCGTTCATGGCGTAGAAGACGTTGGCCGAGGGCGGCAGCGGCAGCTCTGCGGGGACACGGTGGGGACACGGGAGACATTGGGGGCRCCCATGGGGGGATAGGAGGCCCAGYGGTTTGGGGACGTGGCCCTCGGGGACACAGAGATTTGGGGACACGGCGCTAAGGGCATCAGTACTTGGGGACATGGCCCTTGGGGATGTGGTGATTGGGGACCCAGCACTTGAGGACACGGCCCTTAGGGACACAGGGATTTGGGGACATGGCACTAAGGGACATGGCACTAAGGGAATCAGCACTTGGGGACACAACCCTTAGGGACTCAGCAGTTTGGGGACACAGCAGTAAGGACCTGGCCCTGGGGACGTAGTGGGTTGGGGACATGACACTTGGGGGACACAGGGATTTGGGGATGTGGCAGTAAGGGACATGGCACTAAGGGTACTTGGGTACATGGTGCTTGGGGACTCAGTGGTTTGGGGACACAGCACTAAGGGAGCCGGCATGGGGACGTGATGGCTTGGGGACAAGGCACTTGGGGATGTGTGGCCCCATCTGGGGACACACCACTAAGGGACCCAGTGCTGAGGAACCCACTGCCTGGGGACATGGCAGCTTGGGGATGTGGCACTTTGGGGACCCAGTGGTTCGGGCATGCGGGGACTTCAGGACCCAGCCCTTGGGGACACAGTGGCCTTGGTGACACAGCCCTTGGGGAGCACCTTGAGGAGGTGGCACTTTGGGGACCCAGTGACTCAGGGCTGCAGCATCTTGGGGACACAGAGGCCTTGGTGACATAGCCCTTGGGGACACAGTGGCTCCAATGCCATGACTCTTGGGGACCTAGCACCTTAGGGACCCAGTGACTCAGGGCTGCAGCAACTTGGGGACACAGAACTGGGGGACCCAGCAGCTCGGGGCCTTGGGGTCCCAGGACCTTGGGGACACGGTGGCCCCGGTGCCACCTCACCCCGCTCGCCCGGCAGCAGCTGCACGAGCTGGAAGCGCCCGGCGTCCTGCCCGTCCTGCCCGTGCTTCTCCAGCACTTTGGCCACCACAGCCGGCGTCTTGTCCTGGCTCGTGATCTGCGCGGGGTGGGGGACAAGCGCCGTCACGGAGGGGCCCAGGCGTCCGGCACGGGGACGAAGGGACATTAGATGCCCCGGGGAGGGGACACTCGCCAGGATGCTCTTGTAGAGGCTGCCGTTGTGCAGCTCCATGCGCGCCCGGATGATGCGGCAGTCGGACGGGGACGCGGCGGGGACGGCCGAGCCGCACGAGGCTGAGCGCCGGTGGCCCCGGGGGACGCCGGGGGACAGCGCGGCCGGCGCCGCCTCGTCCAGCGCCGACACCGAGGGCCACTTGACGTGCTGGGG